TACGGGCTATTAGGTGCTCTGGATGATAAGACGCACTGTCATTAAATGGTCTGTTTTCAAACTTTTTTCACAAATAAACCACACCAGACTTTAAACGAAACACAATGGTTAGGTGGGTCAGTGGGACTTTGTTTGGCGCGTTCACGGTGACTCTAGGCTTTGTTCAGTTGTGGCGTGTAGGGAGGGTGCTGTTTGGGACCGCTGGATTGTTGGCGTGTTCGCAGTGACTCAGTTGTTCAGTTGTGGCTCAGAAAGGCACATTGGACTCGCTTTTTTGGTTCGTTCGTCCTTTCGATTCCTCGTCCGCGTGGAGTGATGAGTGTGGCTGCGGGTGTTTTTTGCTGTGCGGTCACTGTCTGCTCCGTGCGTGTTTGCGTGCGCTGCGGGTGGTGCGGATTTGTAGTTTACTGAAGTCGTGCTGGGACACCCGAGTGGATTCGTGTATGGGGCGCTCTGGCTTGCGGGGCGTGCGGTTGTTTTTTGATTGGGTTAGAGGCTTAAAAGCATGTCTAATAGCTCGGAAAATACGGTAAATGTGTATGAAGTTTTAAAACAAAGTGGTGCACTTCCTGTATTACCACATGACATCACCAGGTAGAACAAAATATTTTCCATTTGAGAGAAAAACTCAATATGCAGAGTTTGTGTTAAACATCTTAAGAAACAAAACAAAACAAAACAAAACAAAAACACAACTCCAGGTTTGTGATGAGGAAACAGAATTATAACACAGTTCAGAAAAAAGTATACTATAGGCCCTTTAATTTATCATAATTCATATTTTTACTAGTTTTATTCATTGTTTTATATTGAACCCAAATGCTGATGCAAGTTCCTGGTTTGTGAATTTGATACCCCTGACAATGGCAATAAAACCTCATTTGATTCGGAATGTGTCCCCAAATGAAATAAAAATAAACCTGTAAGAAACATGATTATACCTTCAAATAGACCAGAGCTCAGACGTGATAAAGAGTGTCCCTGTCCTCACTTAGCCTGTAGCAGACAGTGTCTTTTACTGGTGAGCCCTGTCAGAGGAGCACAAGGTTAACCTCCCCATTTGTGAATGAATACAGGCTAAATGAATGACTCTTTTATGGGCAGCACTAGAGCCGCGAGAATTAAACCACAAGTGGGGTCTTCAGCCCTGTCTCGTTATACAGTTTCAAATAGCACTTTTTCAAAATAGTGGGTTAAGTATTTTGTCAACATGAGTGAGCAGAACTGTTATAAAATAATAACAATGAAAAAAAAAATCTGAAAATCACAACTGAGAAGTGATGTATAATGCAAATATCCAGTACCAGTCAAAAGTCTAGAAAGACCATCTCACTCATCTTTTTCTTTATTTTTACTACATTTTAGATACAGAACACATCAAATATATGAAGTAAGATCTATTGAATTCTGCAGTAAAGACAAACAATTAAGTTTACAAAATATGTTTCAACAAAGCAAAGGCTTTGAGGATTTGAATATAAAATATATTAAAACAGTATAGTAGTAGAGTAGAGTTAGTTACCTTTTTATTTTGCTATTCAGTTCCATATATCCTACTTCATACATACATATAAAATGTAAGTATAAGTAGTCAAACATTAGTCTGATGGTTTCACTTTGTGGAAACTGTCTGACCTCGCAGCATTACGATTCGTTCGCTCCGACGGTAGGCAACGGTAGGCGGGTACTTTTTTTATTTAACCAATAACGTCTTTTCCCTTGATAAAATTTACCAAACATTCTCTTTGTTCCGGCTTTAAATCCTCAATCTAAGGAATTGTTGCCAACACAGAATGTATGTCTTCGTCTACATCCATCTTGACCGCTTTGTTTACTGTTGTGCTGTACCACAAAAGGGACCCAGACAGGCACTTGAGTTTGACATCATGGCTTCACAGCTCTTCACTGATTGGCCGGTGCATGGTCTACAACTTCCGTTCTTGCATACCATCTAGTCTATTCCGATTCCTGACCTAGTCGCTGGAGAGAAATGAAATTGAGGGGAGGCAGTAGGTGGCAACAGCCTGGCTAGTAAAGCATACAAACAACAGACAAATTATCTGGTAGTGTATGTCTATAAAAGAGCTATTTTTAAAATCTGTATCTGTGTCAAGTTTTCAGTCTATTCCTTGGTATCAATTCAAAGTTAGAACAAGCTATGACCAACCATGTTTGTACACTTTTTAAATGATATTAAACCACACTGTTGTTTCACAGCATATGAATTATAAAGGCCAAAAGTCTTATTAAACGTATTCCATGTAATCCATGTATCTATGTAATGACTATAAACCACTATCTTACCAACACAATATTTGAGATGGCGAGGTGTGAAATTTACAAAGCAGTGTCCATAAGCTTATCTAAGCAGTTGTTGTGTGCAGCCGGATATCATAGTTTTAAAACAAACTTAATAAGTATCCAGATCTATTACTGTGTATAATAAGGAACACATCACAGACAAATAATTATTTTACAGCTTGTTTTACAACCACGGGTTTCTCCCTGAGCCCTGTAGTGTGGTTAAGTGGTGAGCTCTTATGGGCAGTATACAAGCAAGCACAAGCAATAATCACCAAAGCCTTAAATCATCCAGGTGTCCAGTACACTGATACCAGTACTATCCAGCTTGAGTTTAATCAGCCAGGACTACAGGAATATGAGAATTTCAAGCTTTTTACATTGTAGCTTGTCATAATTTAATTAGTTCAAAAGTGGGGTTGAATCTCTGTTACACCTTGTGATGTCATGTAGTTAACATTTTCAAGTTTCAACAGTTACCTTTTACCATTTGTTCAGCAGAGGTTGGCAATTCCACGTCTGAAATTATCAAAATGATTGTTGTGAAGGTGTACGAAGTTTAAAAACACAGTGGAACACTTCCTGTATTACCACATGACATCACAGGGTGAAACAGAGAAACATATATGTGACTGAAACAAAAAACAACTTCAGGTATGTTTTTGATGATATTATAACACAGATCAGAAAATAGTGTAATATGGGTCCTTTAAATAAATAGATAGATAAATAAATAAGTAATGTCAGATGCCTTTCCTGATGCATTCTTCATTCAGTTCTATATTATGATGGGCATTTTTTTCATACACTGGAGTCACAGCTTTCATCCCTCAAAGATATGGGATCTCTCTGACCTCTTTAATAAGTTAGTTATCATTACAGCTGCCAGAAGTCCCATTTCAATTTTACATCTAATTTTGCCCTGAAAAACAGAAAGACAGTCTTGTTAAAAGTGAGTTATAGTTTTGTGATCACTGCCCAGTGGGTGAACAGGTGTTAATGTGTTTGTTTATGAGGTTAGATCAGTTGGTTTTCCCAGGAACGAGACTCTTTCTTATCTGTCCAGACGAAACTGGCAGGAAATCATTAATATATCTCCCACCCAACTCTATCAAAAATTACCTTATATTTTGGGTTATTCTATTGTGGAGGTAGGCAATTATTTTTTCCATGGAGCCACATGAAAAACAGAAAATATTATGGGCCAAAACACTTAACTCAGTTCTGCATAATATTATTTGTATTTCTTTTTAAAATAAGTAAATAGTATTGTTTGGAGAAGCTGGTAAGACTGGCAAGAGTTCATGTTATGACTAAGTAATGAAAAAGTGAGGTTGCCTTACAAAAAGTGCCATCTAATATAAAAGCAATACAGCTTTAGTCTATGCATGAGGTAAAATGACAAAATATATTTATTTTTTAATTCCAAATTAGCTTAAACGGGCTGGTCGGAGTCAACCAAAGGGCTGTATGTGACCCGGGAGCTGGACAATGCCCAGGTCTGCTCTACTGCATGCATTCCTATGGAGACAGTTTCTAAATGTGAAATTGCATGACATTATTGCATAAAAGAGGTAGATAATGTTTTAGTTTTATAGTGATTTGTGAGCAGACAAAATGAGTTTATTGGTTGCCACTTTATAGCTCCATTATAACTGCAGATCACACCATAAGGCCCAGATAACATGTGTCATCTGTAGCAGGCTGTAAACTCTGGCAATAAAGATTTGCTCATAAAATGAAAAGAAAAAAAAATCTTCAGATTACTGTAATAAATGTAACAACCATGTCTCAAATGGTCTTAAAATGTTTGACTATTGTAATTCACACTTACCTGGAAGAAGGTCAAGGGGTCATGAAGATGTAGCTCATCAAAACTCTAAGCACAGACAACAGACACATTTAAAGTTTTTAGAAACTTTAAGTGTGCAATGAACATCTTAAAATGTTGTCAACTACATCATTCCATGGTAATGGAAAGTTATCATACTTGGAAATATTCTCCATGGAGATAGATAAGATTTATGCCATACTGTGTAACATTATAGCCAAAGGAACAGCATCTCTGTAATAACAAGCTAGATTGAATAAGAGTCATTATATGTGCAATAAACAAAATGGGGGAAAATGCTCGTTTTAGTCTATTTTTGGTTAAAAAAAACAATGCTACATAATGTGGCTTTAATGTTAGGCCTACTAGCATGCTTTATCCAGATTATTCACAGTGCTATGAGTGGCTAAAATAATTATCTACACTTAATTAATCCAAATGGACTAATTCTTCTTAGTGGTGTAGTTAGCCTGAGTTGAAAATGTTTCGGCATGTTTTTGTAACGCCTACTTAACCACTTTAATTAGCCTGTAGCCTATCCTGTTACTTATACTGCGGCCCTTTTATAGATATTCACAAAACAGAGGCCCACTGGTATTTTAGCCTGAAGGCCATTAAATCCAGCCTCTTCGGTGCTCCAGCCAATCACAGCCCACGAGACTTTACGCGCTGCCATTGTGTGTTTTTACGCACGGACTGGAGTGGAGTGGGTCAGAAGAGTGTTGCACCTTTAGCAGAGAGGTATGACAATAGAGATAGAGCTCAAATAGAAAGTTAACACGGTCACACAGAGAGAAGTGGATGAGGCTGTTTCTATAGTGAAGCTTTGCACATTTAGAAAACAAAACAAAAAACTATGACGGCCACGATGGAGAAGTCGAAAAACTTTCGCATTGACGCGCTTCTGGCTCATGACGTAGAGCTCCGAGTGGACAGCGACGGAGGCTCCCCGGGACGGTACAGTACGAGCCCCAGCGGCAGTCCCGTGTCCCAGCGGGGCTCAGAGACGCCATCTCCGCCCTCGCACCCACAGAACACCCGTCCACTTCAGCCCCGAATCCTGTCAAAAGCACCGCTCATCGGCCTGCCCCAGTCCGGCCTCTGTCACCTGCCACAGGGGGGAATGTTAGGAGTGCACCCCGGCTCCATGTACCCTCTGGCGGCTTTGGGAGGACAGCACCCCTTCTCTCTCTACCCCGGGTTTCCAGGGCTCGTGCACCCGTACGCGGAGCATCTGAAAGGGGCGTCTCTAGCTGGAGGTGTCCCGCTGGAGCCGTGGATCAGAGCGGGAATGATGATGCCCAGATTGGGAGAGTGCGGAGGTAAGCAGCACACCAGTTACTATTAAACTTTATGAATTACAAATGACAGATTTAGTGAAAATGATGTATTTCCAGTTGAATGGTACAGACTACTGGGAGAAAACAAGTATCAAGTATGTTGTTATAACTTCTTTTTAATATTTTATTTTCAACACAACTGCAGCTAAACTTCTTTATACATGTGCATTTCCATTGAATACACCATTTCAACAGGTATTCCTAATGAACAATCTGAATGCACACAACAATTTACGCCCTGAGCCAAGAGATATAAAGGTGCACTCTGGTGGAGGTTTCCATTATTGTTTTGCCTGTAATGTTTCACCATATGGCATTAGACTCATCTCTTTAGCTTTTGTTGTTAATAGTAAAGCACATCATCTTACTGTGAGTGGGTTTGCTTCTCAGATGTGTAACTTGGCCTTGGTCTGTTTAATGCCATACTTTTAATGCAAAACTGTAGAACATTCCATCTCCAAGCAGGTGGCAGACCCTCCTCCAGAGAAGTTATATACACCTTTAAATCAGTATTCACTGAGAAAGAAAAAACTGTTCTGATAAATCACAGGCATTTGTTTGTTGGATTGCTACAGAGTTCAAATACACTTGTGTTATTGAATGCACCATGACATTGAGATGCTTAAGGACAATTAGCTCATAAAACCAACGTGCAGCGTTTACAGCCTGGTCCCACCTGTAACCGACCAATACTGCTTCATCAATTGATAACATTTATAGTGTTTTCATTAAGGTAATGGACCCATGTGGTGTTTTATGACCCATCCGGAGCAATATCCTCTCACTGCCTGTATACATCATGACTATAAATGTTTACAAGCCCCCACAGAGCGCACAGGGTTAGGGGGCAGCACAACATAATGCATCTCAATAATAAAGATAATCATTGCATCTTTATTGTATTGTCCTGCCTGCTCCAAATGATTTGTACTACACAATAATACTAAATTGAACATCTTTTGTTCTCCTGCAGCACAGGCACAGGCAGGACTGTTGGGCAAATGCAGACGACCCAGGACAGCCTTCACCAGTCAGCAGCTCTTAGAGTTAGAAAACCAGTTCAAACTCAACAAGTACCTGTCTCGTCCCAAACGCTTTGAGGTGGCCACGTCTCTCATGCTCACAGAAACTCAGGTAAAAACAATCATTGACAATGGCAGACACTTGGCATAGATAAAATAGAAATTACTGCAGCGGATAGTACATTTCCACACTTAACAGATTTAAAACTAGATGTGCATACTGATATATATCTAACCTCTATGCTCAGCATCTTTGGAAATCTTAGATGTTAACACAATAGTTTCATATGTATCCTGAGAGATTTAATACTGCATGGGCCTTTATGTGCAAAGAGGTCACCTCTGGGGCCTGAACTCCCTAAATTTGATTAAGAATCTCAATTCAAGTATTATATTCACAGTAAAAGAAACATTGTAGTCTGAGGGAATAAAATTATCTTCAAGTCTATACACCTGCATGCATATAAGCATACTTGATATTTGGTAAAAAATGATGTGGGTCTACAGTGCCCAGGGTCATATTAGGAGCCGAAAATATCCAAACTTCTTCAATCTGGTGGTATTTCAAAGTTAACCTTTCTCATCCATTACCTTCTTGTTTTCATGAAAATGTTATTGCTTTTCCTGGAATATTCCACACAGTTCAACAGTTTCCACAGAGAACCAGAAGTGACATAATGCCCATGCTGTTTTCCAGTTAGGACTATACATTGTGATCTTTAGAAAGCCTATAATAAAATATCCTTGGTTATGCTTTAATTTCTGCAGGTAAAGATCTGGTTCCAGAATAGACGCATGAAGTGGAAGCGCAGCCGCAAAGCAAAGGAACAACAGGGAAATCCACTGAATGATGAGATCCACTGCTCCAAGACTCCAGGCGACTACCACAGCTCCAGTATTGACGATGAGGAGGACATAGACGCAGAGGATGAAGAAGGAAAAGAGGAACTACAAGCACTGAGGCCACCATTCACTAGACACACGCCAGCAAACTACAGCTCCTATTCAGAGGAAGAGGGGGAGGAGAGGGACCCAAGAACAAGGAATGGTGTCTTTCCATGATTCATAGCATGCAATTCATGTAAGTCTATGTACTTCAAATGTGGATGCACAAATAATGCCGTACAGAAGAGAGGGTAGGGCATTGGAGATTTTTCACTCAATACCAATGAACATGCAATGATATAGCGATATTGCTGTCAAAAGTAAGAGAAAGTTGAATCTATTAGGCTATATTTTGCAGGTGCATGAGGTACATTTACAAAAGTACTTGAAAACAGACATTTTAAGATGAATGTCAGTGTTACATTGTTCTCAGGGCTTCCCCTTTTTACATGCAAATAGAGAATGTTCGGAAAAAAAATATTGAATTGATTTATGCTCTTAATATGTGCCATGAAATACTTTTGTACATGTAATTTGTTATCATAAAATGCATGTTAAGTTTATTTGGAAATTTGTTAGGTCTTATTATTTTTGGCATTATTTTGATGTGTATACTGTTGACATGTGAATGCTAAATTGCTGTTGTTTTATTTAATAGATATAATATATTTACTTTGAAATAATTATGTTTGTTTGTCTTTGTGGAAATGAATTGTTTAAAATAAAATTCTGTCATGTTTTTGACTGTGCCAAGTCATTTTATACAGATAAAATGATTGATTAATGGGTTAATTTAAGTATGTGGAGCTAGTTAAACTGTTTGAATGATCAAAGTACACGTTTTCCCATGTTTTGCTTTTCGCGTATATCTTTTTGTCCCTCAACAGGTGCCGTCATTGCTATGTGTGTCACTTGTCGCCATGGCAGCGGAGTAGACAGATCAACTTTACAAAACCGTTGTGTTTATATTGCTCAAATATTAGCTTTTTTTTTTTTTTAAAGTTATAATTTCTGCCAGGTAAAGGTTACGTGGACCTGAATAGCGACGCAGGTGAGCTAATATTCCCCCACTCACATACTTTAGATGAGGCTATGGATTACACACAGTGTATAAAAACGTGGACTAAGCAAACTGAGTGAGTGTGCGCCACTCAAATGAAGATCCCGATACTAACAGCCACAGGAGCAAGTTTGGAGCCAGAGTTTATATTATGAATAGTTTTTTTTTTTTTTTTTTTTTTTTTTTTTTTTTTTTTTTTTTTGACGGACCAAATAGCGACAAAAACAAAACTTCACCAAGATGATGCAGAGCGAGTCAATACGAACATTTAAGACCAAGAGTACGAGGCTCACAGCAGCAGTTACAGAGGGAGTGAGGTGACAATATTCTAATGTAAGTCAAAGGGAGCCAGGGTCATACGGTCTATGGTCAGTAGGAGCCGAGCCCGCGTGCGAACCTCCTATCTGGAACGCGGACCGTGGTGAAGTTAGTTTTACGTTAGACGTTCGATATTGAGTTACGCATCAACAGCGGAGATGTTCATTGCCTGTGCCCCGCTTGCTCGATCACGGTGCGGGGAACTGTACACCAAAGCTCCGCTGAGTCCGCGGGTTAGGGACCGTCAATAAATTACCAGTGCATTGAATGGAGTCTGCTAAAATATATATATGTAAAGAAATAAAAAAGGGATTTATAAAAAAAATAAAAAAGGGTTTTATGAAACATTTGTTATTTTTATGTATTTTGAGAGTTAATTAGTTAATGCATTTTTTCAATATCTTCCAGGTCAATTAATCTAAAAACACCAAGCCAAGTTATTATAGTAGTCTTACTCCTCCGGTATCACGCACACCTTTTGGTTTTCCAAATTAACCCTTTGTGGAATTTTTAGGAATTTTAAATCTTGAAAATCTGTGATTTTTTTCAATAGCTTCTAAGGTAGATGACCTACCAACTCCAAACCAAGTTATTATAGTAGTCCTACTCCTCCGGTATCACGCACACCTTTTGGTTTTCCAAATTAACCCTTTGTGGAATTTTTAGGAATTTTTAATCTTGAAAATCTGTGATTTTTTTTCAATAGCTTCTAAGGTAGATGACCTACCAACTCCAAACCAAGTTATTATCGTAGTCCTACTCCTCAGGTATCAAGCACACCTTTTGGTTTTCCAAATTAACCCTTTGTGGGATTTTTAGGAATTTTTTTCCTTGGAAATCTGTGATTTTTTTTCAATAGTTTCTAAGGCAGATGACCTACCAACTCCAAACCAAGTTATTATAGTAGTCTTACTCCTCCGGTATCACGCACACCTTTTGGTTTTCCAAATTAACCCTTTGTGGAATTTTTAGGAATTTTAAATCTTGAAAATCTGTGATTTTTTTCAATAGCTTCTAAGGTAGATGACCTACCAACTCCAAACCAAGTTATTATAGTAGTCCTACTCCTCAGGTATCACGCACACCTTTTGGTTTTCCAAATTAACCCTTTGTGGAATTTTTAGGAATTTTTAATCTTGAAAATCTGTGATTTTTTTTCAATAGCTTCTAAGGTAGATGACCTACCAACTCCAACCCAAGTTATTATCGTAGTCCTACTCCTCAGGTATCAAGCACACCTTTTGGTTTTCCAAATTAACCCTTTGTGGGATTTTTAGAAATTTTTTTCCTTGGAAATCTGTGATTTTTTTTCAATAGTTTCTAAGGCAGATGACCTACCAACTCCAAACCAAGTTATTATAGTAGTCTTACTCCTCCGGTATCACGCACACCTTTTGGTTTTCCAAATTAACCCTTTGTGGAATTTTTAGGAATTTTAAATCTTGAAAATCTGTGATTTTTTTCAATAGCTTCTAAGGTAGATGACCTACCAACTCCAAACCAAGTTATTATAGTAGTCCTACTCCTCAGGTATCACGCACACCTTTTGGTTTTCCAAATTAACCCTTTGTGGAATTTNCAGGTATCACGCACACTTTTGGTTTTCCAAATTAACCCTTTGTGGGATTTTTTAGGGATTTTTTTCCTTGGAAATCTGTGATTTTTTTTCAATAGTTTCTAAGGCAGATGACCTACCAACTCCAAACCAAGTTAATATAGTAGTCCTACTCCTCAGGTATCACGCACACCATTTAGTTTTCCAATTTAACCCTTTATGGAATTTTTAGGAATTTTTAATCTTGAAAATCTGTGATTTTTTTTCAATAGCTTCTAAGGTAGATGACCTACCAACTCCAAACCAAGTTATTATAGTAGTCCTACTCCTCAGGTATCACGCACACCTTTTGGTTTTCCAAATTAACCCTTTGTGGAATTTTTTAGGAATTTTTAATCTTGAAAATCTGTGATTTTTTTTTCAATAGCTTCTAAGGTAGATGACCTACCAACTCCAAACCAAGTTATTATAGTAGTCCTACTCCTCAGGTATCAAGCACACCTTTTGGTTTTCCAAATTAACCCTTTGTGGGATTTTTAGGAATTTTTTTCCTTGGAAATCTGTGATTTTTTTTCAATAGTTTCTAAGGCAGATGACCTACCAACTCCAAACCAAGTTATTATAGTAATCCTACTCCTCAGGTATCACGCACACCATTTAGTTTTCCAAATTAACCCTTTGTGGAATTTTTAGGAATTTTTAATCTTGAAAATCTGTGATTTTTTTCAATAGCTTCTAAGGTAGATGACCTACCAACTCCAAACCAAGTTATTATAGTAGTCCTACTCCTCAGGTATCACGCACACCTTTTGGTTTTCCAAATTAACCCTTTGTGGAATTTTTAGGAATTTTTAATCTTGAAAATCTGTGATTTTTTTCAATAGCTTCTAAGGTAGATGACCTACCAACTCCAAACCAAGTTATTATAGTAGTCCTACTCCTCAGGTATCACGCACACCTTTTGGTTTTCCAAATTAACCCTTTGTGGGATTTTTAGGAATTTTTTTCCTTGGAAATCTGTGATTTTTTTTCAATAGTTTCTAAGGCAGATGACCTACCAACTCCAAACCAAGTTATTATAGTAGTCTTACTCCTCCGGTATCACGCACACCTTTTGGTTTTCCAAATTAACCCTTTGTGGAATTTTTAGGAATTTTTAATCTTGAAAATCTGTGATTTTTTTCAATAGCTTCTAAGGTAGATGACCTACCAACTCCAAACCAAGTTATTATAGTAGTCCTACTCCTCAGGTATCATGCACACCTTTTGGTTTTCCAAATTAACCCTTTATGGATTTTTAGGAATTTTTTTCCTTGAAAATCTGTGATTTTTTTCAATAGCTTCTAAGGTAGATGACCTACCAACTCCAAACCAAGTTATTATAGTAGTCCTACTCCTCAGTATCACGCACACCTTTTGGTTTTCCAAATTAACCCTTTGTGGAATTTTTAGGAATTTTTTAATCTTGAAAATCTGTGATTTTTTTCAATAGCTTCTAAGGTAGATGACCTACCAACTCCAAACCAAGTTATTATAGTAGTCCTACTCTTCAGGTATCACGCACACCTTTTGGTTTTCCAAATTAACCCTTTGTAGGATTTTTAGGAATTTTTAATCTTGAAAATCTGTGATTTTTTTCAATAGTTTCTAAGGCAGATGACCTACCAACTCCAAACCAAGTTATTATAGTAGTCCTACTCCTCAGGTATCACGCACACCTTTTGGTTTTCCAAATTAACCCTTTGTGGAATTTTTAATCTTGAAAATCTGTGATTTTTTTTCAATAGCTTCTAAGGTAGATGACCTACCAACTCCAAACCAAGTTATTATAGTAGTCCTACTCCTCAGGTATCACGCACACCTTTTGGTTTTCCAAATTAACCCTTTGTGGGATTTTTAAGGATTTTTTTTCCTTGGAAATCTGTGATTTTTTTTCAATAGTTTCTAAGGCAGATGACCTACCAACTCCAAACCAAGTTATTATAGTAATCCTACTCCTCAGATATCACGCACACCATTTAGTTTTCCAAATTAACCCTTTGTGGAATTTTTTGGAATTTTTAATCTTGAAAATCTGTGATTTTTTTCAATAGCTTCTAAGGTAGATGACCTACCAACTCCAAACCAAGTTATTATAGTAGTCCTACTCCTCAGGTATCACGCACACCTTTTGGTTTTCCAAATTAACCCTTTGTGGGATTTTTAGGGATTTTTTTCCTTGGAAATCTGTGATTTTTTTTCAAT